TAGTAGGGATGTGCATGGGCAAAACATTTGGTAAAGTTCAGAAATTCGGGTAAGTAAAAAATTTTGTCTCCTTCATCAATTCGCACCAATGGCATTCAGTTCTGCACTTACGAAAGTCGGAACTTCGGCAATTCGGGACTTCGGCAATTTTTTACTTTGGTAATTCAGACATTCGTAAGCATCCCTCTCTTGTTTTGACACTTTTCATAAATCCGAAGCACTTTGCCACCACACAACTTACACATCTGTAGGGCTCCCTAACCCTAGACCCTAACAACCACAACCACTTACACATCTATAGGGCTCCCAATGCCCAGACTGCCACGACAACCCCTTACACATCTGTAGCACTCCCTAACCCCTAATCCCCAAACCTTAACCTCTAACCCTTACCACCACAATCACTTACACATCTATAGGGCTCCCAGTGCCTGGACTGCCACCACAACAACTTACACATCTATAGGGCTCCCAGTACCAGGAATTATTGGTCAAGATTCCTGTCATCATTCACGTAATTTTCCCTCCCTCTCTTGTTTTGCCACTTTTCAGAAATCCGAAGCACTTCGGCACTTTAGCAATTCGGCAATTCGGTTCTTCTCGGCGCTTTGGAAATTCGGCACTTCGCAAATTCGGCAATTCTGCAACTTGAACTTTGGACATTTGTAAGCATGCGAATGTCTGAATTCCACAAAATTTGTCCAAATGTATATTCAGAACGAAACAAATTGCACATGTCTAGTGATTAGTGCTTAAGGTCATCTTTATCATCTTATGTGATTTATATATACATTACTTAACATATTATTGTTAATCTATAATTCTCTTGAATTTTCTGTATATTTGTTTTTTTAAGACTATGCAATATTCGCGCATTATACAATTATCCTGGTATTTTAAATCTAGTTCACTAAAAAAAAATATATATATATATAGCACCCTGGTCAATTTCTGTGAATGTCTTTCAATTTTTTGAAGATATATGGGTAGAGTGCCAGAATTTTGGATATATATATATATATATATATATATATATATGTAAACACTTGTGATGCTTTATCAGCATGCACAATTACATGAATATGTAATTCTTATGTAAATTGTCATCCTTATCAACCTGTTTTATGCATAAAATAATTAGTGCTTAAAGGACCACTATAGTGCCAGGAAAACATACTCGTTTTCCTGGCACTATAGTGCCCTGAGGGTGCCCCCACCCTCAGGGACCCCCTCCCGCCCGGCTCTGGAAAGGGGAAAGGGTTAAAAACTTACCTTTTTCCAGCGCTGGGCGGAGAGCTCCTCCTTCTCTCCTCCTCCGTTCCTCCTCCTGGGCTGAATGCACGCGCGGCAAGAGCTGCGCGCGCATTCAACCCGTCGCATAGGAAAGCATTTACAATGCTTTCCTATGGACGCTTGCGTGCTCTCACTGTGAAAATCACAGTGAGAAGCACGCAAGCGCCTCTAGTGGCTGTCAATGAGACAGCCACTAGAGGATTAGGGGGAAGGCTTAACCCATTCATAAACATAGCAGTTTCTCTGAAACTGCTATGTTGATAAAAAAATGGGTTAACCCTAGAAGGACCTGGCACCCAGACCACTTCATTAAGCTGAAGTGGTCTGGGTGCCTAGAGTGGTCCTTTAAGGTCATCTTTATAGACTTTTGTAATTTATGTATACATTCCTTTTCCTGTAATCTTTATGTTTCTTGTCTTTTTCTCTCTTCGTTCTTTCAAATTTGGGTATATTTTAACTCAGATCAAAGTTCAGTTTCTTGAACTATTTAGATAAGGCTAGTGTATCCAAAAAGGCGTGTGTCTTCACTTCATAAGAGATATTGATTTTACATAGGTATCTCCAGGCATAGCGAATATTCCTTTGGTGTAAGATTTTTGTGTAACTTGCAAATGGTTTTCTTTTTTCTCCTGGAATAATAGGACATGTCAAGAAAAATAGAGATGTTATTATATGGTTCCTTAAGTCTAATCACTCTTGCTGCTTTCAAGACTTGTTCTTTAAGTTTGTATGATGTACAACAGATGAGAACATCTCTTGGTAGACTTTCAGGTACAGTAGATGGAGTTATTACTCTATGACGGCATTATAGAATGTTTAAGGGATTTGATGGTTAAATATCCCATTGCAAGAATAAATCAAGGATGAATTTGTTCAATTTATCATTTGCTATTGTTTCTGGTATTCCCCTGAATCTTAAATTGTTGCGTTGCGATCTATCTTCTAGATCAGCTAGTTTAAATTCTAAATCTGCCATTTTCTTTTTTAGATTTTCCTGTGAATCTTCTAATTGCGCTTGTTGGTATTCCAAAGATTCTGGTTTTCTCTTAACTTTTTTCATCTTCATCTTAACTTTTTTCTCCAGTGATAGGAGTTCCGTTCTGAACTCTGTGAAACCTGTTTGAATTTAATTTTTAATTTTATCTAGTTGGCGTTCAAAACATGCATCTAGATATTCACAAAGATCATCTTAAATGATCTTCTTAGGAAGCTGTTTAGTGTCACACGTTCATCCTAACCTCGAGGTGTATGAAATGAGAAATGCCTTTCTGGCATTGATGGAAGTGCCACTCAGCAGCCCTGTACTGGTGTATCTGACTCCTGCGGCATGTTGAAGGACGCCGGCCGCTGTAGATCCATTCCAATTTCTAACCCCATGTCCACACACGGAATTGACGACATCACGTGCGTGTGACGTCACACAAAGGACGCGCACGCACATTCTAGGGTCAAAGGCTGGGTACGGCCAATCGGATCTGAAGGGAGCTTATTTAAACTCCTTTTTCCTTTTCCTCATTGCCCTGTCATGGTTTCCCTTAGTAGGTTATCCGAGAGAGTGTTCTTAAACGTTTATTTTTGGTTTTTGGCTTTGGCTTCGTTTTGACTTCCCTGTATTCTGGTTTCCTTGACTTTCGGCTTTTCCCTCATCATTGTGTCTCCCTCTGTGTCCCTGACCTCGGCAAGTATCCTGACTATTCTCTGGTACATTAAGTCCGGCCATTCTAAGGCCCGGTAAGACATTACCTTTAGTCCTAGGTGTGACACAATTCTGTGTGCTGGATCAACTAGTATCCTGACATTTAGTAGATGTTATCTCTGGTGTCGTTATTTATTTTTCTTTGGCAGCTGGTATTGAAATATCCATTTCTTTCTGCTGATCTATTTCTTGTCTCTGTAAATGAGGCAGAGTAAAAAAAAAAAAAGCCTCTTTGTCTTATTCTCCTGTTTCTTTTCTTTTTCTCTTTTTGAGAGTTGTTTACTTTCTTGGGCTTTTTTTGAAGCCATAATAATTTGGACGTGACAGAGGCACTTTGTTGTGAAGATAGACTGATGATTTTAAAAAGAAAAAAGAAAGGAAAATTTACGAAAACATTAAAAAAAACCCTCTTAATTGTCTCTGTGTCCGAGTCTTCGGAGGAGTTTCAGCCTTTTTCCGCTGCTTGCTGCAGTAATTAAGGAATTTAGCAATTAAAGACTCGCCCTTAAGACATTATTAATATCTGTGCTCTTGCTTTAAATCTTGATCCCTGAATGCGTCTTTTCCTTTTTCTGCTTTGAATGGCCCAAATAACTGGCATCTCTTGTGAAGGTAGGTCTTAATACGTTTCCTAGCATAAATACCTTTATCAGTAGTAAATCCTGCAGATACCATTGGAAGAAGTCCTTGATATTGGATGACACCTTGACAAGGTGATCCTTTGACCTCAGGTACTGGGATTACTCTTGCAGAACCCCTTATATTTCAGATAATTAATAAATGCAAACTCCAAGCTCATTATTAAGCTCTTCAGGACAAGGGAGGTCAAATCTACTTTTCCAGAACCCCCATATATCAGATAATAAATGCAATCTCCAAGCTCATTCATAACCTCTTCAGGACAAGGAAGGTCAATTCTATTCTTGCAGAACCCCTATATATCAGATAAGGAAAGCAAACTCCAAGCTCATTCTTAACCTCTTCAGGACAAGGGAGATCAATTCTACTCTTGCAGAGCTCTCATATATTAGATAATTAACAAATGCAATCCCCAAGCTCATTCTTAACCTCTTCAGGACAAGGGAGGTCAATTCTACTCTCACAGAACCCCCATATATCAGATAATTAATAAATGCAATCTCCAAAACCATTATTTCTGCCTTTAGTGGAACCAGGACATTGGAGAAGGTTTTGCGCAGCTGCACTAAGATCAGAATGACTAAGATTGACTAAAATCAGAGCATGGAAGTACTAACCATGATGCTCTTTTTTAATATTAGTCAGTCTACTGCAGTTATTACTCATGATTACTGCAAGCATTGTATTTTGATTTGTTTCTCACATACAAAAAAAAACCATTCAGCTTGTGCAGAGCTATCATGCAATGCCATCATCCGATGATTTAGGGAAAAAGGAATATTCTGGAATAGTAACCTGAAAAAATGTGTTCGTTATAAAACTAAACTTTATCAACTTTTAGAGACTGTAAAACCATTGAGGTGCTTTTTCAGGTAAGCTGCCGATTTGTCTCTATAAATCTTAGAATGCATTTCGGTATGTAACATTGGCAGATGACATCTTGTATGCAAAAACCGTGTGTTTGGAATTTAATAATGATTAATGATATATTAATTATAGTATTAATTTAATGCATTCTGATAATCAGACCAGTTATGGCATACTCATAACTATTGAGAAAGCATCTAGGTTAGATGCAAAAAAGCATCCAGATAATTAGGCATGTGGTTTGTCCTGAACACTTTCCACCCCAGTTGTGTACTGCATGTAATGTGTGTTTCTTTTTCAGCTTGTTCTTGCTTATATTGGTATTTGTTCTGCTTGTTCTTGTTGAAATGCAAATATGATCTGTTTTGTTAGGGTTTTTTGTAATTTTGCACCCAATGAACAATGTTTAAGAACCTAGAAGTCCTAATGTGGGAACGGACGCATCTCTCCAGAGTTCCCGATCAACCGCACAATAAACAACCGCCAAGCGACAAAAAATTGCAACATGGGCAACAAAAAAAACCCAATGCATCCCAGGAGACTCCAGGTCAGGTCTCCAACAAAAAAAAAACGCTACTTTAAAGACAAAGTGAGAGCACTCGCGGAGGCAGACACGGAGTGGCCGCCATCTTCGCCACGTGTCTCCCCGCCGACGAGCCCGGCAAGCTCCGACTCAACATACCTGGTTGGGAACACAATACTGCAGGAGATATTACAAAATCTGAACTCCAAGGAAGACATGGCCTCAATGCTCTCTAAACTTGAAAACTCCATGCAAGAAAGACTGTCAGCTATAACATTGGAAGTTCGCCAGATAGGACTACAAGTGGGAGACCTGGAAGGGGACAGAGATAATCTACAACTCAGTCTGCATAACTTGGAACAGAGACAGGATGCTCACAAATCCAAGCTGGTTCAGATCATGTGCCACACAGAAGACCTCAACAACCGTGGCAGGAGAAACAACCTGCGGGTCAGAGGCATACCGGAGGCACAGGGAGATCAGGAAGATATCAGAGACACCCTCCAAAACCTCTTCAATAAAATACTACAGAGAGCCACAGATACACCTATACTACTAGACAGGGCACATAGAGCAGTAAGACCCCAAGGACTGCCACAGGACACCCCCAGGGACATTATCTGCAGGGTTCATTACTACACCCTGAAGGAAGTTATACTACGACTATCCAGAAACTCCCAGGTCCTAAACCAATCCCCTACACGAAGGGTGGTTAGATCGCAATAGAAACCCTAAGTTAACACATGGATGCAGATAATAAGTATCAAGATTAATGCCACAATGTTAATGCTCCTTAGTACTCCTGATTATTTCCTTTAAACTTAAATTAAAAAAAGGGAAAATAGACAAGGGGAAAGATATGAATAAAATTAAGAAGAATGTTGTGTACTTGGTTAAAGCTAACTTAGACCTGAGGGCATGACAGCGGGAATTGAATGTGCTTTTATGTTATATGTATTACTTGTATTGCTCACTCATTTGTTATCAGGGAGTTACACCACCTAGGACCACACTGTCCCTTCACAGAGGCACCAGTAAAGACACTAGTAGACCCGAACATATACAAAATCGCGCTTGGCAGTGCTAAAACTCCTACGCGATTGAAAGCGGTTGCAGGGAACTGCACCACAAAATAATACACCAGCTGATATTTCAGTGTTAGCCACAACTAACCCATATTAGCACTAAACTAGACTATTCATCCTCCTAAGTAACCAGATTAGGTTACGAGCGGTGCGATAACCTAACTTTTAAAATACAGAATAAGTATTCCCGAATCAGCTAATTAAGCTGACGGTGAAAGAAATTGAGCACTGACTCCTAATTAGTTGGTGGAGACACTAACTATAACACACAATTGCAAATCTGAGAAATTACTTCTACTACAAGTTAATTGTTAAGATAGTTCCATTACGTTTTAGTTCAACTATATTCCTATCTTTTACTTTTTTTTTTTTTTTACGTTTTTACGTCTTTACGTCACATCACAAGCACAGTCACAACTTCACTTCCTACTTGAACCTGACAATAGTCAAACACTCCGGGGTGCATCCATGTCGTCATCCGGAGACCGCACAACTATTTTAGATACACTAAATATACTTTCATACAATGTCCGGGGGCTTAACACACCGGAAAAGAGGAATATGGCCCTTCGGGAATTCCATAGGCTACAAGCAGAAGTAGTATTCGTACTGACCAACAGACACTACCCCCACGCATACTACAACAACTTTACGCACAACAAGTCAAGGGGAGTGGCAATTTTAATAGGGGTCCAGCTCCCACTTATTTATCAACAACATTATGCTGACGAATCAGGTCGGTTCGTCATCCTTCAAGGCACAATCTATAACTTCCAGATAACACTAGTCAACATCTACCTACCAAATACACGAGAATGCCACACCTTTTACAAAATACTGACTAAAGTCCAACAATGCACCACAGGGGCTTTAATTATATTCCCTACTACAAAGAACTATACCTTTTACTCTTAAACAGCTTCCACTTACACAAGAATAAATCTCTTTCTCACAACCCAAAGGGCCCTATCGTCGGTAGCCTCGGCATCCATAGGAAATATAACCTGGTCGGACCACGCTCCACTCAATCTCCAGTTTAGGATCCCATATATGGCCCAGGGTAAAGGTCAGTGGAAATTAAATACCACTATACTACACAATACTAAGGCAAAACAGGCAATCACAAAAACAATATTTCAAGACAATGCCACACTAGACACAACACAATTTATTCAATGGGAGGCACATAAATGTGTGGTTAGGGGGGAATTAATAAAATGGGGCTTTTTTCTTAAAAAAGAAAGCTTTAAGAGACAAACTGAGTTACTGAATAATATAAAAGAGCTGGAAGAGGCACACATGGTCACGATGTCAGAGGGGGACCACCTTAAACTTATGTCCCTCAGGTCTGAATTAACCTTAATATTACAATCAAAAGCTAAAAAATCCCTAGTCTGGAACAAACAACTATTTTACGCCCAAGGGAATAGATGTGGGAAACTATTAGCCAATGCACTCAAACACGGACGAGAGAGGATATATAGCCCACGTATCAAAACGGCTAGCAATAAAATAGTACAAACAAATGAAGAGATAGCAGGGGCATTCAAAGAGTTCTACCACTCATTATACAATATAACAAAAAACACTCAGGATAAGGAAGTAATTAAGACATACCTAGAGGATAAATTCAATAGAGTGCTCCCGAACGCAGTGACTGGGTCACTAGAAGAGCCATTCACAATAGCGGAGATCACACAGGTGGTTAAAACCACTCTCTCAGGCAAAAGTCCAGGTCCAGATGGATATTCTGCCTCATACTATAAAACGTACTTGAAAGAACTAGGCCAACACTTACTAGAAGCCATTAACTCAATAGGCCCAGACAACCCCATTCCTAAACCAAGTCTGGAGGCCAATATCACTCTTCTCCACAAGGCTGGGAAGAACCCAGATGCTTGAGGTAGTTACAGACCAATTTCGTTGATCAATGTCGACATGAAAATATTCACAAAAATGCAAGCATTAAGATTAAAACCACTACTCCCTGCATTAACCAAGCAGGATTTGTCCCTTCATGAGAGGCCAAAGATAATACTACTAAAATCATAAATCTCATTCATGGAGCACATGGAAGCAAGACACCCTCTATTATGTTAGCCATGGACGCGGAAAAAGCATTCAACAGGGAGGATTGGAACTTCCTCCTGTCGACACTAGAAACACTGGACTTTGGTAAGAGATGGATGCAGTGGATCCAAGCGATGTACTCTTCCACCTCCGCAAAACTCAAAATAAATGGAATATTATCTGAACCCTTCCAAATAATAAACGGCACAAGACATGGGTGTCCCCTGTCCCAACTGCTTTTCATCTTGGGATTAGAACCCCTACTAAATCCAGTTAGGGATCAGCCGAAGGTGGAGGGTATGAAGGTGGGCCAAAACCAATATAAGGTCTCCGCTTTGCGGATGATCTTTTATTCATGCTGTCTAACCCTGTTTCATCCCTTCCGGCATTGATGGACATTCTGTCCGAATATAGCGCTCTATCCAACTTTAAAATAAATGTTGATAAATGTGAAATATTAAATCTCACCCTATCAGAAAAAGACAAAAATACAACTCCAAACACCATACACCTTCTAATGGGCCACGAAGTTCATCAAATATCTGGGTGTTAATATAACACCTCACAATAAACTGCTCTACGAAGCCAATTTCCCACAAATCCTAGGAACCATAAGTGCAGACCTGGAAACTTGGAACAAGCCACATTTTTGTTGGTTTGGCCGAGTAAACATCTCAAAAATGAACACGCTCCCCAGACTATTATACCTCCTGAACACTATACCAATCACCTTACCTCTGTCCTTCTTTAGGAAGATCCAATTCTTATTCACACAGTTCATCTGGGCACAAAAATGACGAGAATACAATACCATATCCTCACCAGACCTAAGGAGAGAGGGGGAGTAGGCCTCCCAGACATATGGCTCTACTATCAGGTGATCCTCTTAAGCCGTATTATAGACTGGTCACATCAGACGTCATCCAAACTTTGGATCCCAACAGAACAAGCACAGATAGGGGAATCCCTGAAGGTACTATCTTGGCTTCTAACAGCACCCAACGACTGGACGACCCACCCACACCCAACAATGACACCAACGATAGAGATCTGGAAAAAAACGTACAACATGACTGACATAGCCCCTACCCCATCTCCAAAATACCCGATTACAAACAACCCACTTTTCATAACAGGTAAAGGAGGTATGCAACTAACACCTCGAAGGGGTAGGAAAGAGGGTGAATATATGGCCTTGGACAAGATAGTAGGGGAGGATGGATTGACACCAGTCACACAATTGACAGAGGGACAGGTCCCAACACTCATGCAGAGATTCCAATATGAACAACTACGTCATTTCTTGAATGCACGGGGCCTATTGAAATGGACCCCAAGGGAACAGACCAAATTTGAGCAACTTTGCTTAGGGGTTAAGCCACCTCCTAAACCAACCTCACTGTGTTACAAAATGTTACAGAATCAAACATATACTAAACTTCCGTACTTCACTAAGACATGGAAGGGAATCCTGGACACTGAATTAGAGGAAGGGGACTGGATGTCTGTTTTCAAAATAATCTTTCATGCACACTCCAGTGTCCCACTACAGGAGACTAATTATAAATTTGTCTCCAGGTGGTACACAACCCCTGTAGACATACACAGGTTTGATCCAAGTACATCCCCTAACTGTTGGAGGTGTGACTCGGACCGAGGCACCTTACACCATATATGGTGGAATTGCATGGCAGTGACTGGCTTCTGGAAGATGGTCTGGAAAACGGTCAACTTAGTGACAGGCCTAAATATCCCATATAACCAAGAGGCCCTAATTTTATTCCACTTCAAATTCCCACACAGACAAATGAGGTATTATCTTGTATACTTTATGCTGACTGCAGCAAAATGCGTTATAGTGAATAACTGGAAATCCAAGATACCACCCTCTAAAAAAGAATGGTACCAGAAAATAGAACATTTTCATGAGATGGAGGAATTAAGATGGGGGTCACAGGATAAATATCATAGATATACGGATATATGGTTACCATGGAAACACTTCCTGAAGGGAACACTGACCAACCCCTCAATACAGACACAATTTTTCCTATAGCACCAACCCCTGCACAAGCAACAAAGGAACATGATGTTGGGTTGTATCTACCTAAACGTATAAAAATTGCATGATGTCCTAGGCCATACTCCAATGTTACTGACACAGTGAAGATTATGTAATCAATATGTGAAGCTGTGATGATTTGTTTATGCATTGTTGATTGCTATATTTTTGTTTTATGTTCTTTGTACTTAAGTAAAAGACAGTTTATGTCAGAACTCAAAAGAAATACCAATAAAAATAAAATAAATAAAAAAAAGTCCTAATGTGATGAACATTAGACTATCTCTGTTAAGAAGGGCTAAAAGAGGGTCTTGCTTTTTGTTTTTCAGTGTCCTATATTCCAAGGTAGTGACCAGTGCAAAGTGAAGGGATAAACATATCTTAAAATATGCCTTTATCTAGTTAGATTCTTTCTCATCAAAGGGCCTTAAAATATTTGCATTATCATTATTATTTTATTAGGCAGCTAATCTGCTTATGTGAAGAACAAGTATAAATTTTCGACAGATAAAATAAATATAAGATATATAAATATAACATTTCTACCCACCAGAAGCTAAACCTTTTCAAAGAGAGTACATGACTACTTTCCATGAAGGGGTATCTGCTACACCTCACTGATGATGCCCAAAGAAGGCCAAAATTATAATCTGGGGCTGCTGTATCTCTGGTGCAGAGAGAACTTGCCAGCATTTCAGTTCTGGACTGCACTTATGGCTGGGATCAGTCTGATATGCCATGGAACTGTTTTTTTTCTGTAATGGCACAAGTGAGAAAAAACAATTTTGAGCCCTGAGTGGAGATTTACCAAAGGACAAGCTACTACGCTTTTATCCAGTCTCAAAGTTCTCATATTTTCTACTTTCCGTAGCGGGATAAACAAGTAAATATTACTACAAATAGTACATTTGGTAATATATACAAACCACATCGAAAAGAAAAAATGGCATTTATACACCAAAAGCCAGACTTATCATTTTAACAATATATGGTGTTTAGAAATTCAAATCTGTTGCCAAAGCAGCCAATGAATCTCATTGTGGCAAACAGAACCTCGCCACAGGCTTTATTATTTTATATTTTACTTACCTATGTACTGTGCCATTGGAGTCCTGTTTTATTTTCTCTCTCTACATATGCTCTACTGAATTTAAAGCAATTCCAATATATTTTATTATACTTTTATTTATGTAATATACTTTATATGTTATTATTATATATTTTTATATTTTAGGTGCACCCTTATTTTATTGTTTGTTTTGTATTCCTTTTTATTATTAGGGGATTAGAGGGGACTCCCCTTTGAGGAGTGCAGCCTTCTTATTTACATCTTGTGTGGCAATTTAGCGCTGATTTTCTTCTTCTGTTTTTTGGAGGGGCCTGCTTGCCAGCCTGCGGCCAAAACACTATGGGCTAGGTTAGCGACTGAAAAGACCATATTTTATTCCCGCTGGGACTTTCCATAGAACCGAACTCAAGCTCACTAGTGGCCGTTCGCATGGACCAAAACCGCAAATAGACTTCAGGGGGACTTAGCCGCAAATGCCCTGGCATAAAAACTATGACTTCCAGGAAATTCCTGAACCCCTGAACTGATCTGGGGGGTTTTTGGATATGTTGTTCACCCACATCGGGGCTATCAGGGGATTTGTGGGGGTTTTGTATGTTTTAAAGGTATTTTGGGGGTTTTATAAAAATGTGTGTTTTTGCATCTGGAGATAATTGAGTTAATACAGTACTTGACTCAATTATTCCCCAGATACAGAGGAGGGATTGACCAAGTTTGTATGGGAGTGTCCTGGATCTGACAGCCAATATGACTGTGTATTTGTTTCTACTGTGGTTTACTCATAGGTCCAGAGGGGAGTGCCCCTTGCATGGGGACAGTCATAAAAGGCCAAGTGTGGTCCCATTAAAATCAATTCACTTCCTTACAATCACGCAGCCTCATCTCGTGATTGTAGGGAACAGCTAAACCAGCTATACTTGCTTCAGTTTGCTATACTTGCTATAATCACTAGTTCTTGTAAGAGCTACACAGCTATACTTGCTAGACTCTCTGGAGTAGGAGAGGTCCACCCACTGAAGGCTGGATCCTGGGCTCAGGTCCAGGGTCGGTGGAGGACAGCGAGACCCCAGCCAAGCTGCTGGGGCTGAGGGGCTACGGTGCTTATGGTGTCCGGTGCAGTGGTTATAGTACTCCAGGCTACTAGGAAGCAGCGATTGGTGGACGCATCCAGTCGGGGTGCCATGTGGTCCGTCACACTCATATTGAAGGTACATAAAATAGTTTACTACACAAGCTCAAAATGTTGATAAACTAAGAATTCCTGCCTATATGCATTTATAAATAAGAAAAAAAAAACATTTCCCAAATGAGAGAGAAATCTAATTGTGATCAGAAATGACTATTGTCTACAATACCAAATACACCAATGTCTAGGACAGCTGTATGCAACATTCAGCACTCCAGTTGTTGTGAACTACATCTCCCATAATGCTTTATAGGCATAATGCAGGCAAAGCATCAAAGTGATGTAGTCCACAACATCTGGAGTGCCAGTGGTGGATGATCAATTGTCAGATGCTGCTAGGATTACTGCAGTTTCTGCCACAGTCACTAAGAGCACATCCATTAGAATCTTTCTTGCACAAGGACCAGGCACTAGAGCAGGCATAGGCAATCTACGGGACTCCAGATGTTTTGGACTACACTTCCCATGATGCTTTGTCAGCATTATGTATGTAAGAGCATTATGGGGGATGTAGTCCACAACATCTGGAGTGCCGAAGGCTGCCGATCCCTGCACTAGAGCTTCCAAGGGAGGAAAGAAGCACTCACCTAGTTCATTAAAAATATTTAACTTCAGGCAAGTAAACAAAAAAAACATTTCTGCCAAACAAAGGTCTACCTGCCAATAGGCATATTCATTTTTATATTAATTAATATATTATATTATTTATACCTATATATGTTGTATATAAGTATATACAGTACTGCTAGCAAAATAGCATTTGACTGGTTTCCTTAGGAACTACTTTGTTTTTAGAACTGTGTGCTACTTTTATGTTAGTGGTGGTTTTATGATTGTTCCCCCATATTCTATCCAATACATCATATGAATATACATTTGGGTATATATATTTTTACTCGTGCAACCAAACATTTAATGTTTAATGCATCACATTCTTTTCCCCAAAAATGTTGGAATGCAATACACTGTTCAGTACTTTCCTTCAATGAAATACAAACTTTTCTCCTTTGGAATGTCTAAAAAAGTTCAAGTGTAATAAATCTTTCTTGCCCTCTGAAAAATGACAATATTGTTATTATACTTGTTCTTCAGTTGTTTGTTCAGACTTATTCATCTCATGAAAAGTAGAACTCTGCAGCAAGAGGATTATTACACAAGAGGATTATATTTAAGGATAGCACAGATATTTTTTAAGGACAATTAATCTTCCACAGTTCATATTTGAAATGCAGTTATTTATACTGGAAAGATACTTCAAGGGAATTGGGTGCATTTTACATAATTATTTTTCTATAGACATTACTCTTCAGCTTTTTTTTCCTGGGAATAGATGTTCTGTTTAAAATTGAACGGTAGTAAGACTTTAAAAAAAAAAAAAAAAAAAGTGTTCAACCCAGATGGAGGATATTTTTTTTCCATTCTACCAAAACACCTATAAGTATTAGCCCCTCAGTGACCAGACCCTCAGTGACCAGTCTGTGAACCAAAATGTCATAAAAAAAATAAATTAATTATATATATATATATATATAGAGAGAGAGAGAGAGCGAGCGAGAGAGAGAGAGAGAGAGAGAGAGAGAGAGAGAAATTGTTAATATTATTTAGACATTTTCCCTGTCTATTATCTGGTCAATATGAGTTCCCCACCTGGATAGGCAGGCATCTGCCACCACAACCTGCTATGTTATGTCTCCTAATTGAAACTTGTTGAATAGATTCACTTGTGACAGCCACCAATTGAGGAATTGCTTAGCCTTGGGAGAGAAGAAGATGAAGAGACTGACTGAGGTTCTAAAGATTGTTTTGGCTCAGAAAGGACTCCAGTGGGATCCTGAAGTGTCACTGTTTTTCTTCCTCACCCCAATCCTGAATGACAGGCATAAACAGGAACAGACCAAAATCCTATGTGGCTTCAACCTATTCTGAATAAGATTTGGCTGTCAGAATTATCTGTCCTTTCTTTCTGACTGCTGAACAAGGCATTGGATTGTGTTGAAGTGGGACCCCAGTTGTTTGTTGTGATGACATTAGCTGTCACTTTGATAGATTCAGATCCCATCCCGCATCTCTCCAGGATGTCTCTTGCTATTTCTAATTCAATGCCATCTTACAGGTTGGGGGTGTGTTTACACCAAACATATATATATATATATATATATATATATATATATATATATATATATATATACATATATTTATATACATAATAGTATTTTATAACCATGTGTGCCCTTTTGAGGTCACTAATGCCTACCATGTTTTTCAGTGTATTTTTGATTTGATTTATTTATTGACTTGGCTATTCCTGACTATCCTCATGTCTGGTATCCCTGGTCTGCCTTTGTTCCTGGAGTATCTGTGATTTCTGACTTCCCTTTGACCTTGGTTTGTCTTTGACCTCTCTGTCCACTATCGTGCTGTGATATTTAACCCAACTACTCAAAGCATATGTGCATACTTTTCTGTGTTCCTCTTTGGTGGGTTTATTCTCTGTG